GTGCGACAGTCCTGGGAAGCTTCTCCCGGCCATCGGGACATGTCTAAAAAGTATTTACGGCATCGTCAGTCATTCAATTTATCGCATTTCTTGGCCGAGCGCAAACTGAGAAAACGTCACTCGACTTTGCCGCTGACGTGGCTTTGGCTTTGGCTTTGCCTTTGGCCTCCGCCTGGCGACAAGTTCATACGTCTTATGACTTCCCGTTGACGGAAGTGTGTGTATGCGTGTGTTGGTGGGTGGGTGTGCGTGTATGTTTGGGTCTTATGTCTGCTTGGGACGTGTAGCTTACAGCAAAATCACTTTTATAATTGGCACGCAGCCAGCCAAAAGAAGCTGCATGTGGGCAAAAAAAAAAGAAAGAAAACTCTTAAAAAAAAGTTACAAAAAAAGGAAGACTGAAAGAAAGAAACAAAAAAGTTGTTCGTCTGTGAGGTTTTCAGTTAACTTATTGCCTGGCTGGTCGCGTCTCGACTCGTCTTTAGATCCTTAGCGATGTCTGCAGATACGATTTGTCAGATATGACATTATATTAATTGAAATCATACGTCAGCGCTGAATCGTCGCTTTAAAACTGTAATAAAACCGCTCCATGGAAATGGCAAAGTCAATTAAAGTCATCAAAAGTGTCGCCAATAGTAAATTACGCAGCCAGACCAAACCAGCCCAGAATAGCCCGAACAGAATGAAAATTGAGACCCTAATTGAATTGGTAAATATTTAAATAAATATAACCGCAAATAATTAAAACAACAAAGCCAAACGAGGCAGCAACCAGTGGTGGATTTCAATGGACGACACGTCTAAATTAAAAGCTCCACAAATATGAATGCATGACAGCAATAAAAAAAAAGGACAATGAGAAAAAAACTGTCCCTGGTCCAGGTAAATGTTCAAGTGAAAGGCAAAGGGCTAGGTGCGACAGGTAAGAGGGAAGGGCGAAGGTGGCACTCGCAGCACATTTCAACCACAAAAGCAATTAAATTTCCAATTAAATGGCATTCAATGAACGTTACAAACGCTGCGCGATTTATTTAAATTGTTAATTAGGAAACGCAATTCCGATTGCAAAATTGACAAATTAAACAAATTTACTGATCACAAAACTCTCCCACAACTGTCAAATATTGAAATGTTTCCTATATCCTGGATATATAAAAACAAAGTGCGCATTTATTTCGAGTCTCCAACTCAATTTGAGACTCAGCCAACACATTTGAGAAACTTTAACAAAGCCAGCTGCAGCTGCAGCTACAGACCAGAAACAGCCCCTTTCAGAAAAATTAAGAAGGTATACAAGAATAATTTTTCTTAAACGTTTTTATCGTATTGTCATGTACGATTAATTGCGGATCATTGAACTTTTTATAGCTGCAGGAGCTTGAACGATTTTTGCCCCGAACCACTCTTTGCTCTGTTTATTTTTTGCCTGTTTGAACTCAGTTTCCTTCTTCGAAAAATTTGCCGCTTCAACAAAGTTCTCCATGTGATTGACCAATAGATCGGATAAATTGTGAGTTTAGTACATATTTATTTCTTTTGGGTAGTATAATTTACAAGAGAAAATCTATGCACATTTTAGGTTTGTGCGGACCTAACGAGATAAATGTTTAAAAGTCATAAAACCGCTAGCTGAATTTTATACTGCAATAGTTGATGACGTAATCATAGAGGTACAAGGACCTACAAAACTTGATGATTGTAGCTGTTTTTTCTTACATATTTAAATAGTTCTTCGCCAAGAATGAGACACTTGCAATGTTTTGGAAGAGATTTTTTATTATACCCTGAACCCATTGAAAATGGGAAATCAGGGTATAATGGTTTTGTTAAAAGTATGTAACA